TCATACACATTTTTAACATAAATGGAATTATTTTTCTAATCATATTTCTAACCTCTCACAACAGCTTATTCTTTGATGGTTACAAGCCTGGAATACATTGGAGGTTATCTTAATTTTTAAAATTTATCTTAATATCTCTGTTTGCTATTTAATAATTTTCTTGGGTGGTACATTTTTCCTGTGTGAGTTCAGAGCCCTTGTTTTTTTCAGGGGGCGGGTGGTGGGAGGGAGGTTTTTCTCATAACCTTTGGTTGGGTGTTCATCCTCAGCCTTAAGATTCTCTGTTTACTTGTCTGCTTTGCTGTTTGTCTTTGCCCTCGGTTGTTTTTGAACGTTGTGATGGAGGGTCAGGCTGTGGGGGCTGGGGCACTAAAGGTTTGTCTTGGGCCGTGGGGACCCCAGCTCCTCCTGGGGGCCCACGGCTGCCGGGCTTCCCAGCTCCAGCCCGCATGCTCATTGCTGTGCTCTGGACGCAGATGGCTCACGCATGCTGCTTGGCACGGGGCCTGCTGATCAGAGGGGGGCTGCTGAGGGGCCCGTGGCTTCAGTGTTCCAAATATGGTTCCTCAGAGTGGGCTTCCCTGGACCACCTGCATCAGAATCAAGTGGGGAGTGCAGAGAAAAATGCAGATTGCTCAGAGCTCCCCCAGGTCCAAACGTAAAATCAGACCGCGGCGGGAGTGGCACCTGGAAACTGACCCTGGGACTGGGTCCACGGGGAAGGGCATACTGTAATGTGCGGTTTCAATACACTTCCCAGAATTCTCCCACAGACTGCAGTTTGTGAAACACTGTTCTAATAATTTGCCAGATCCTACACACTTCTCTTTGTGGTAGCTGATTCCAACTGGTTTTCCTCTGCTTTATTCCTCCATAGAGCTGACCTTTTTATAATCCTACGTAGTCTCTTTCAGGAATTCCTAAAAATTTCTCACCACCTATAGTGATCTTTCTTGTCAGTCTCATTTATCTATGTTTATCCTGATACGCGCGCGCGCGCACACACACACACACACACACTTAATATATTATATAAAATTTACATATATATTTAAAGGTAATAAAGTTGCGTTTTTAGAGTTGCATTTATAGATGAAAATATCTATATTTTTCATCACTTCAGGGAGGTCTTTCCTAAATTAATCTAGATATTATGACACAAACAAAATTTATAGAAAATTTCATCACCAACTTTTCAGGGCATCACTACCATTCTACCTCTTTGGCAAACACTACTGTTCACCTGCTGAACGCGCACGGCAGCTTCTTTCCTGGCTGTCAGAGCCCTACGAGCATCTGCCCTCAGGATAAATCCTGCCTGGGGGGGGTGTCCAACTTGCAGCCCACGGGAGGCATGCTGTGATGGCTGTGAGTGCAGCCCAACACAAAACTGTAAATTTACTTAAAACACTATACGTGTCACAACGTATTGAATGTGTGGCCCAAGACAACTCTTCTTCTTCCAGTGTGGCCCAGAGATGCCAAAAGGTTGGACACCCCTAGGCCTAAACCAATCAGAGTTGTCCCCTTCCCTTTGCCAGTAATTCGTTTAGAAGAGGGTGTAAAAAAAAAGAGATGTAAAGAGAGGGCCTTTGGTAAAATGTTTTTCTCACTTCTAAGGAGACACCATAAAAACAGGCCCTTCCTGCCTCTGGGGTGGTTACATTTAGATGTGGTACCTGGGACGGCAAGTGCTTCATTGTCAGAAGGGAAGAGCCTTGGGGTGAAGCCAATGCCGAGGGCAGCAGGAGGAAGACAGGATGGGGAAACTGCTGAGCTGCTGGACCGACTACACCTGAAACCGCTCTACACTGTCGCTTGTAGCCTAAAGCATCCTGACTGATAAAATCTGTTTTCGAATACATAACAAGTTCTTCTAAACCTTGGAAAATATTTTCTTATAAACCTTAGGAAAGAAAAAGAACCTCAAGTTCATCCATTTAAAAACTGCCTTTTCCCCTTAAGTAAAAATACACAAAGCATATCAAAACATTGAAAATCTCTAAATAAAAGAGCAATCGTAAGTTGGATACGTGAAACCGACTCCTGCCCTTATCCTTCAAAAAGCAAGAGAATTAAAAATTTAAATATACCCGATCTAACACCACATTCCAATTTCTGTAAGTTCAAAAGGTGTGTGTGTTTATAAAATATCCAATTCATTAACAAATTGTGTGTCACATTTTTTTTAGTGAATTATTTTAACTTCCAACTTAATTTATTACAAAACAATGGCCAAATCACACATTTGATTTTAACTTACAAATAAAATAGTACCTATATGTTCCTGGGGACCTCCTGAGCTCTGAGCGCCCTGTGCAGCCCCCGGCTCTGATCCTACATGCCCACCTTGCCTCACTGCATGAGAGGAGAGAAGAGGGCAGGCAGATGGCTTAGAGATGGAAACGCTGGCCACCGCCGCCACAGAGAAAGGTCTCCAGCAGTCGGGGCCATTCAAGTGGCTCTATCTTTGATAACTCACATTTTCTAAAAATGGGTCCTCTGCCTATTTTTTAATTTTAAGTTCTTATATAGGCAGGGAGCACCAGCTTTATAAATGGACACAACTGCATCAGCCTTTGTGCAGTTGTATAGTGATTTCCTCCAGATAATTCATTTATTTGATGGACATGAGTGAGGTGGTATATTTCTCCCTCCAACTCTAATCTTCTCTCTTACTGTTTCTCAGCACTTGTAAATTATGTTAGAACTAAAATTAACAGAAAATACCACCAAGCACATGTGCATATTAAATAGGCAGCCTCCTTGTATATATAGAGAATTCTGTGCACACTCACAAAATCAATTCATGTCGCAACAAATGAGCTTTAGTCCTTTTCCTCGGCATGCTTATTTCTGTGCTGAGCTTCTCTACTAACTTGTCAGGACCCTTCCCTAGCTACTGAGTTTTGGTGTGAATATTTGATTTTTCCTGTTTTTCAAAAACAAATGACTTTGCTACAAATAATCCAAATATACATTAATTTGATAAGGCATTTTTGGAATTTGTTCTGCCTGTGTTAAGAATTTTATTAATGAGGATTGCATTAAATCTGTATATTGCTTTGGGTAATACGAACATTTTAACTATGTTGATTCTTCTAACCCATGAACATGGAATATCTTTCCGTTTCATTGGGTCTTTTTAATCTCTTTTAATAATGCTTTGTAGTTCCTTTATTAAGGTTCCTTTAATAAGTTCCTTTATTATTCCTATGTATTTTATTCTTTTTGTTGAAATTGCAAAATAATTTTTTTATTTCTATTTCATTGTTAGTATATAAGAATACAGTGGATTTTTGTACATTGATTATTGTATCCTGCAACTTTACTGTATTTATTTATTGTTTCTAACAGTTTTTTGGTGGAGTCTTTAGGGTTTTCCATACAAAGAATCATGCCATCTGCAAAAAGTGACACTTTTATTTCTTCATTTCCAGTTTGGATGCCTTTTATTTCTTTCTTTTGCCTGATTGCTCCAGCTAGGACTTCCAGGACTATGTTGAATAAGAGTGGTGACAGCGGACATCCCTGTCTTGTTCCTGATCTTAAGGGGGATGCGTTTAGTTTTTTACCCCTGAGTATATTAGCTGAGGGTTTGTCATATATGCTTTTATTATGTTGAGGTATTTTCCTCCTAAACCTATTTTACTGAGTGTTTTTAACACATTGTTCTTAGAAGTTGTCCATGGTCAATACAACATTTGGTTGCTAAGCATTCTAAATATTTATATTTCTTATGAGATTCATTCTTTTAAAATATAGAAACAGAAAACCAGAGCTACCAGATTATATACCACAAAGTAAAACAATTTACTTACTTTTAAAAGATTACATAAATCTATGTTAGAGTTATAATTATACATTTGCTATATTTATACTATAATTTTTGAAATTTCTGAAATTCATTTTTTGAAGATTTTTTTATTTATTGAATTTATTGGGGTGACATTGATTAATAAGATTATATAGGCTTCAGGTGTACAATTCTATAATACATAGTCTGTATATCGTTCTGTGTGTTCACAACCCCAAGTCAAGTCTCCTCTCATCACCATTTATCCCTCTTTACTTTCTTCTACCTCCCCCAACCTTCCCCTCTGGTAATTACCATACTATTGTCTATGAGATTTTTTTGTTTTTGTTTTATGTCTTTGCTTATTCCTTCACCTTTTTCACCAAGTTCCCCAACCTCCCTCTCCTGAACAACTGTCAGTCCGTTCTCTGTGTCTATGAGTCTGTCTTTATTTTGTTTGTTAATTTATTTTGTTCATTAGATTTCACGTATGTGTGAAATCAAATGATATTTGTCTTTCTCTGATTGGCTTACTTCACTTGGCATAACACTCTCCAAGTCCATTCATGATGTAATAAAAGGTAAGATTTCCTTCTATTTTACAGCAATGTAGTATTCCATTGTATAAATGGACCACCGCCTTTTTATCCACTCATCTACTGCCAGACACTTGGGCTGCCTCCGAACCTTGGCTATTGAAAACAGTGCTGCAGTGAAGATAGGGGTGTCTGTATTCTTTCATTTTTAAAAGAAACAGTGCTCTGGATATTTTACAATGGAATTTTCCTATCATTTGTTTGTCAGTATTTTATTACTTTCATAAAACAGAAGTACTCCAGCATTTTAAAACATAATTTTCAACTATCTTTTTGAACCTAACATTGGTGATTTTAAGAACCAGCTTCAATGTTGTCTATTCTGGGCAGATAATATAGACACAATCATAAGAGAAAAAGTTCAGAGACAATTTCACATTAAGTTACTAATTTGAACAGCCAGGGAAAGCTTTAATACATGGATAGATAAATTTCTTACTGAACAAAAGAAACATTTCATATATTTAAAAATATTTACAGGTCCTTCAATATACAGTCTAGGCCAGGAAAGTCTCCGAGAAAAGCAGCAATAGACCATACCCACACAGCTGTATCACTGCCAAAGGAGCCTAAATTCTTACAGGGTGTTTAATGTTCACCATCCTTACATGAGCTTTTCTTTACAGCTGTCCAGCTGGGCCACTGCCTTCTGAAGTTTTAGTCCAAGTGCCTCTACTTGAGATTGTAAATCTGAAATGATACAATATATTAACCTGATTAGGAAATTTTAAGTGTCCAGATAATTTCATAGTATAAACCACTTTGCTTTAGAGTTGCCACACACTTAGCTCAGGAAGAATATTGCAACTCTGTATTCTTCTTTGCCTGGATGACCATACACAGCTTGTCCTATTCTGAAATCCCATGGAATTACCGGGTTTGTACAGATCCACCTTATTGGCCTCTTTTTGCCAGTAAGACCATACTAATTTTCAAACAGCTAATAGACTAAGTTTTACTAATGTTTCCAAAGGAAATTTATGTAGCAAACACACATATGATTATGTGACTCACTTATGAAACACTTGACTGCCTAAGCTGTCTCTTTGGGCCCAGAACTGAAAAGCATTGCTGAGGTCTCCTGGGAGAATTGAAATAGACAAACCATGTGCAAGTCTCCAAGTAAAGAACTTGTTAACTCTGTGGAGCATCTAATAGACTTTCAAAGCCAAGAAAATGCAAGCAAGAAATTGGCTTCCATAGAGTCTTAACTGTGGGATTCAAACAGTGTTTAAGGAAGGTTATTCAAACAGCCGTGTCTAACATGTCTGTGGATGCAGAACTGAGGCTAAAGCAGAAAGAACAAAGGCTTGAATTATCTGAGTCCTGCCATGAGCCTGTGTGTGGGGACCGCGGTCAGAAGCCCGGCCGCAGTGACAGCCCTTGCTGGCACTCTTCTGCGGAATAAGGTAAAATTAAAAAAATAAATAAAACCTTAAGCAGAGGAACTATTTGGTTTCTATGAAAAAAAATATTTAAAACAATAAAATTATAACTTTCTGTTACATCTTTTCAGATGCTTTAATAATACACTTTAAAATCCTTATGCATGCATGCAAATACTCCACACGCGCACATATACTCTTCAATGTGCCTTCTTAGCTTTGTTTTATGTAGGAGAGCCATCTCCTTAAATCTGAAAATAAGTTCACTCTAAACAAATGTTTTAATTAGAATTTATCAGGTATTGGCACAAATTTTATGTTTACCCAGTACTTCCACACACATTATTTAATTTTATCCCTGAAACTGCCTTGTAGGTGGCTAATGGCCCATTTTTCAGATGAGGAAAACATAAGATTCTCTCCAATTCTCTTGCCTGGTATCTTATAATAAGTAACTCTTATATGCAGTCAAAAAGATTTTCAACTCTCCTGAAGCAATAAATTTGAGAGGATGGACCCTTGAAATAAGATGAGTGGATAAAAAAAGCTGCGGTACATTTACACAATGGAATACTAGGCAGCAGTAAAAAAAGAAGAAACTCACATTTTGCAACAGCATGGGTGGACCTTGAGAAAATTATGCTGAGTGAATTAAGCCAGTGAGAGAGAAACAGATACCATATGATTTCACTTATATGTGGAATGAACACAATAAACTAATGAACAAAATAGTAACAGAAGCTTAGATACATAAAACAGACTGACAGGTGCCAGAAAGGGGGACGGGGGATGAAATGAAAGATGGTGAAGGGATTAACCAAATAACATTTATGCACAACCCATGGTCATGGACAACAATATGGGGATTGGCTTGCCAGAGGGGTGAGGGTGGGGCTGGGGAGACGGGGGGGAAAACAGGGGGAAAGCAGGAACAAACCTAACAGCATAAACAATAAAAATAAAATTTTTAGAAAAGATTCAATATAGACCTACTTGGTAGATAATTTCGTGGGGTACATCTTTTCCACTTACAAAGTGATAACATTATATGAAAGAAAAGATAACATACACACAAAGAATTTACTTTTGAGTTTAACCCCAATTTGGAAACAAGGTGAGCTCATAAAGGTTGCATAATGTGTTTCTTTGTTATTAGGTTAAAAGATTTCAACCCACCCTCTGAAGAATGAGCAGGGAAGGAAGCTGACGCTGGTTGGTGGCGTACCATATCCAGGCACTGTGCAGGGTGCTTTTTCCTGTATCATTTCATTTATAATCACAACTACCATAAAAAACAGTTACATGTATTATTTTTACCAGTGAAGACTCTAAGGATCAGAGCAGTTGACTTAACAGAGGTCACATATCTGATTACAAGTGATCCTGTGATTCAAACTCAGGTTGGCCTGATCTCACAGTCCTTATTTTTCCAACTCTCCTACATTGACTCAAAATATGAAAGCTAGAAGGGAATGTAATATTAGTCCATGAAGGTGTGGGTAGAGTGGGTATAGATTTGCTTAGCATACCCCAGAAGCATTAGAGAGGTATATTTACGACAAATTAAAAGTATTATTTTATATGACACTCAGTAAATCAGTCAAATTTCTAACTCTGAGAGGTGGTTTAGATTTTAATTTTTGAAAGTTTAAAAATTAACATATACTTAATGGCTGTTATTAAGACAAAGTAGTGTAAAAAAAAGACAAAATGATGTCATTATGACCAACTTTATGAGACTAACGTCAGGGGGAACAATAATGACTTCTCATTAAATGTCCCTGGGTACTTTTGTCAGGATATAATTTTAAACAAATAAGTATGAGTCTGAGCCCACGTGACAAATTTTCTGTGGTTACTTCTAAGTGCAGCTATTGTTGAGAGAGAGAATTGATTATCTTTAAAAAATTCCAAAGGATTGATACTTGATATGTGAATTTTATGCAATTAATTCTCAATTACCTGATAATTAGAATGTTAGACAGTAAAAATGGCATCTAATCCAAAACCATTTTTATTGCATTGGAAGTATCATTAGGTTCATATTTGAATATAATTGTGCATCACAGTTCCAAAATTTCCTGAGTTTAATGGGAAATAAACTACACGATCATACCCAACTTAAAGAAGGAAAGACTATTATACTCTCCAGAGTTACTCTTTCTTCAAACCCACCTAAATCTCCCTTTCTCCCTACTTCAAGATAAACATAGATGGCTTAGTCTTTAATTCACAATACCCAATGAGTAGAGGAGCCACTTCCTTCAGATTATTCACTATGTTTTTATAACATCTCTGAGAAAAAATAAGGGAAGCAAATACTGTAAACGTTCTACTTCAAAACACAGAAAATGCTGAAGGCTGTTATGTGAAGTAAATAGAAACAGAAAATACAAGTAATGTCAACAAATAAATCATTTTATATAAGCAGACAAGATATCACAGAGAATTGAAAAAAGTTATTCATTATGAATAATCCATAATGTAAACAACACACCAGTATATAATTAGGAGTTGGTGAATATATTTTCACAGCTGTTATTTCACTTTTGGTTATATTTTCTCTAATAAAGAAGGACTAAGAATTGTTTTTAAAATACATAGGCCATCTCTTAACTCTTCTGAATGAAGCATAAGCATCCTATTGGTTTATAATTGGCTCTGGTAGACTAGTAGGGTCCTTTTGTTTTTGGAAGCGAGTGCCCAGTGCCTGTCCTTAATAAATAAAGGAACACAGTTAGGATAAGCAGCAGAGATTAAGCCACCTGCGCTAGACAGCTCCTTCAGTTCCTGAGGCAAGGAGTTCTTAAATAAGTGTATTGTTCTGTGCAGTCCTTCTCTATAGTTAAATAAATTCAACTTCAATTTTCTGTCATTCAGCATGACATTGGATTATGAGGCAAAAGGCCCTGAATGCCTACAAAAAGAAAGGAAGCATTGGCTTTAAACACCATGCAGATGTAAGGCGGAACCCATGGAAACAATCCAAAATTTACAACATCAAATTCTACTATGATGGGACTGTGTTCTTTGAAGATATTAAATAAGAAGCAAATGATTTTAAATGAACAAGACAAAAAGAGCTCTTAGCCTCTCTTCATACAAAGCCAGCTGCTTGCTGAAGAGCATTTCGCAGGCATCAGATTTGGGGTAATTAGTCATTTAAGAGAATCCTGTCATTCTGAAATCTTTCTAGAAACTACAAATACAAAAGGTATTTATCGTTATTTTATAGAAGAATACAAAACTTTACAGTCATTTGGAGGGTATGTTAAGTTAGTATAAAGTTTTAAAAAACAATAAATAAAACCATTAAAGTGGAAAGATATTTCAAGCTTAAAACTTTCTGGATATTAAAAATTAAAAATCTGGTACAAAGTGCTGTATGAAGGACAGTAATTTCAGGTTCAAGTAGCAGAATGGAAGAATAAATGAGCAGAAGAATTGGCACCTATAAATCCAGGTCCAGGGGAATTTTTTTCAATGAGTAATTGAAGCCTGTATAATAATATATATATTAAATGGTGGAACTAACTGCAGAAAAGGAAAAATAAAAACTCACTACTCTTTAACACTCCAAAGACAGGATAACATAGAGCTGTCATGCCTGAATTTTAAAGCCAGAAGGCCTTATTTCAAATTCTGGCTCTGCTTCCGCTACCTATGTGAATTTAGGCACTTTAGTTTCCTATCTACAAAATGGTTGTTATAGCAAAGAATTGTTTTGAGAATTAAGTGACTTAATATATGTAAAGAGGAGGACAGCATCAGGCACATACTGAGAACCAGTGCGTGCTAGCTATCACCGTTGCTGGTGGTAAGTAACCGCCCACCCCCAACTTCCGCTCTGAACCTCATCCCTCGCCACCTTGAGGAGCTTGTTGGGACCAGTGTTACCAGTGGGTATCGTAGTATGGGAAAGAGTAAAAAATGAAGGTTTTAACTATGTATTTTTCTTTAACAATCTACAGAGTAATTATGGCAACCTGTTAAAACTAGTTAAATATGGACGATGCCACACATATTTGTTATAGTGTTCTCAGTATTTTCTGGGTTTGACAAATTTTGTAGATATATTGTTTAGACTAGGGTCTTGCTTGCACAAGTCAAGGATGATAGCATGTTGTAAATGAGTCTAATCAACTAGGTTCTGTGTGTCCAAGGTACAAAAGAAAACAAGGGACAGAGAACTTGGTGGTGGTGAGGAATGAGCGTGAATCTGTTATTAAAGACAGTTCATTTGATTCTGTGAATAGGGAGTAAAGAAATTCAATTGCAGCTAGAGGGAGATATGGTAACAAGGAG